ACATATTGTGTAGAAATACAGGACCCAAAACGTTAATCTCTTCGCATAGGTGAACTAGGACGTGCGTCATGATGTTGAAGAAGGATGGTGGGAACACCAACTCGAAACTGATAAGACATTGCACCAAATCATTCTGTAACTTGGTATGATTTCTGGATCGATTACCTTCTGAGAAATTGCATTGAGAAATGCACATAGCTTCACAATGGCTAATCGAACATTTTCCGATAGAAGCCCCCTCAATGCAACCGGAAGCAGTTGCGTCATAATCACGTGGCAGTCATGAGACTTTAGGTTTTGGAACTTTTTCTCTGCCATGTTTATTATTCCCTTTATATTCGACGAGAAGCCAGACGGTACCTTAATACTGAGCAGGCATTCAAAGAAGATTCCTTCTCTTCTTTGGTAAGAGCGTAGCTTGCATGACCTTGATGTATGTCGTCTTCTCCGTGCATACGTTGCTGGTCCTCCCGTGCCTCAGGTGTATCTTTTGTCTTCCCATACACGCCCAAGAAGCCAAGCAGGGTCACGCAAAGATTCTTCGTCACGTGCATCACGTTGATTGCGGAGCGGACCTCTAGGTCTTTCCAATATGGCAGGTCCCAAAATATAGATTTCTTCTTCCACATGGGTGCGCGCCCGTCAGCGTCCTTTGGAACAGGTTGTCCGCCAGGACCCTTTCCAAATATCACCTTCAAATCCTTGACCATATCATGTACATCAGCACCAGTACGGTGGCGAGGCTTCGTCCGGTGATCCGCCTCACCTTTGAAATGCTTGCCTTTCTTTCTTACGGGATGCCTGCTCGGAAGAAATTGACGATGTCCCAGGTACACATTCTTCTTACAACTATTCAAATATATACTGTTGGTATCATCCAAACAGTGCGTGCATCCGTGGTATCCCTTATTTGTCTGTCCTGAAAGGTTACTGAGAGCAGGCCAATCATTGATGGTCACGAACAGCAACGCCTTTAGGTCAAATTCTTCCCCCATGTGCTCATCCCACGCACGTACACCTGTTCCATTTCACAGTTGTAAGAGTTCTTCAACTAATGGCCTTAGGTACACATCAATGTCGTTGCCGGGTTGCTTAGGGCCTTGGATGAGCACTGGCATCATAATGAACTTCCGCTTCATGCACAACCAAGGAGGAAGGTTATACAAACATAGAGTCACAGGCCAGGTGCTATGGTTGCTGCTCTGCTCCCCAAAAGGATTAATGCCATCTGCGCTTAGACCAAACCATACGCTCCTTGCGTCATCTGCAAACTCCTTCCCGTACTTTCTTTCGATTTTTCTCTACTACGACCCGTCAGCGGGTACTCTCAACTTTCCATCTTTCTTACGGTCTTCTCTGTGCCATCGCATTGCCTTGGCATGCTCTTTGTTTTGGAACAAACGTTTCAACCGTGGTATTATAGGAGAATACCACATCACCTTGGCAGGAATCTTCTTCCTGGGGCGCTCGCCCTCGACATCACCATGCTCATCGCGACTGATCTTATAGCGCAATGCACCACATACCGGGCAAGCGTTCAAATCCTCGTACTCACCGCGGTAGAGGATGCAATCATTAGGGCATGCATGTATCTTCTGCACCTCTAACCCTAGAGGGCCTACAGCCTTCTTTGCTTCGTATGTACTCTCGGGCAATTCGTTGTCCTTTGAAAGCATATCCTTTATCATTACCAGCAACTTTCCAAATCCCTTGTCAGATACACCATTCTCTGCCTTCCATTGCAGCAATTCCAGTGTGGTGCCCAGCTTTTTCTTGTCACCTACGTAATTCGGGTACAACAATTTTTTGTGATCCTCTAACATGCGCTGCAACTTCTTCTTCTCCAAATCACTTGCACAGTTTCTCTTTGCATCGGCAATGGCCCGACCTAGATCATCAACGGGCTCATCTGATGCCTCTTCTTCAGCTTCTTCCCGCATTGCCGGCTCAGCTTCTTCCCGCATTACTGGCTCAGCTTCTTCCCCCATTATTGTATCATCGTATTCAGGGAACCCATGGCCAGGATAGCTGTTGTCGTCCTCTTCTTCTTCATTGTCTTCCATCATAACCCCTCTTTCTCCGTGCTTGGTCCAAACATTATAGTGGGGCATGAAACTGGACTCAAACAGGTGGACGTGAATGGTTCTTGACATAGAGTAATTGCGACCATTCTTACAGCCAGCACATGGACAAGGCATAAAACCATCCGCCCGCTTGTTTGCCTCAGCCGCAAGCAGAAAAGTATGCACGCCCTCAACGAACTGGGGAGAGCATCGGTCATCGTACATCCATTGCCGGCTCATCTTCATTACACAACACCGAATAGACCAAATTAATACAAGTTCATACATAAAGTTCATACAACACTTAAATGCAACAAACAAATAACTCTCTAGCTAAAGCATTTAAATGCAACAACAAATGCGATCAAGATCGCAACTAAGGTAACAATTGATCCAACAGCATAATGATACCAAGCCTCACTATCGATGGCATATTTTCTAATCTTTCTAATCTTCAAGCGCATTTTCTCCATCTTGATCTTGTGATCATCGACGACATCGGCAACATGCAACTCCAATTCCATCTTCTCCTCCTCAATTCTTTTCAATTTTTCTTTCAAGTACTCGTTTTCTCTTTCAACTAAATTTAACCTCTCGACAATAGGGTCGGTTGGAATTTCCGGTTCACATACCTCCTAGATAAAAATATCTATGTCAACTTGATGGGCATAATTTGTCATAAACACGAAATGCAACAAATAGTTTTAAAAGAGAATATACCACATCCGAATCATAATAAGGACGAGGGCCGACGGGGACGGATATCAAAACCATGGCACTATGTATAACAAACAACGTACGGGTAAGATAATTATTATACGAGTAACTATATATCCAAACCACACAAACATCAATTTTTTATATAAAATTTCATGAACAAGAGGCTCACCACAAGGTGGTGCCGGCGACGGGACGGTGCGGGCGATCGAAGGTGGTTACGACGGAGATTTAGAAGGCACTAAGTAAACCACACCTACATATGCAAACTAAGTGTTATTTTGACCTCAAATTGCATATAAATCAAATACTACCACATATAATTCCTCCCAAATTACTAAAACCCACAATTAATCACTATATAAACCAATGTAAGAGCTAATCTAGCAATGAGAGATGAAAGGACAAAGTTGCTAACCTTGGTGATCATTTGAATGGATGAGGGCCTACAAATCTTGACAAATTTGGGGCAAATTTTGTGATGAACTCGAGAGGAAGAAGGGAAGAACAGAGGAGAGGGAGAGGGGAAAGGGGGAAGAACAGAGTGCGGGTGGACGAAGGATTTATATAGGACGACCTTTAGTACCGGTTCATGCCATGAACCGGTACTAAAGGTGCTGGAAGGGCCCCACTCTGACAACATCCTGCCACCACTCTCATTAGTACCGGTTCGTGGCACGAACCGGTGCTAAAGGTTTGCCACGAATCGGTACTAAAGAGCTCCTCCCGGCTAGCCGTTGGAACCGGCACTAATGGACACATTAGTGCCGGTTCTGTTACAAACCGGGACTAATGTGTCTCACATTTGACCCTTTTTCTACTAGTGGAATCGTGAGGCAAATCGAAGGGACGACAGTGCTTGGCAAGTGAGTGCCCCGCACTTATGTGCCCCTACGAATTTCCGCATGGTTTGGCGTCAAATATGGATGAATAATGATCTATTGATCTTACAATCTGGAGACGATCGCATAGGAAAATAGGGAGATGATGGCTAGCTTTCGCTCCACTCCCCTCCCCCCCCTAACTCCTCTCCGGTGAACGCTAGCCTTCTCCGGCATGACGTGCAGTGGATCCGACTCTAAGAAGTCTGAGTTCGTGGACTGAGGCCTCATCCCATGCGGGGTAGAAGAGAATATGGCCGTCCACAACGGCTCTACGTCGCTCCCAGGAGAAGTGCGCCCGCCCACAGTCAAAATCAATCCAGCAGGAATCCATTGTGTCTGCTCAAATGGCGCCTGGATCCACTAGGGTTGGTGGCTCTAGGTACGTCACAACAGCCTCGTTGGAAGTGGTGACCACCCCACGACGGCGCAACCTTGGTATGGTAGTGGAACCCTGATGACCCATAAACAATAGGGGATCTATCGTAGCATTTTTTAAAAGAGTGTCGAACCCAACAAAGAGCAGAGAGAATTGACAAGTAGTTTTCAACGATGTTTCACTGTAAACGATGTAGAGAAGGTGTGTCTAACATCGTGCGGAGGGCATGTGAAGGGGTGTCTCTGGCGGATGCCGCGGGATTTGTTTGGAGTTGGTCTTCAATGGATTTGTTTGGATCATGTTTGTTTTTCGTTCGGGTGTTTCTAGGTTGGATCCTTTTGATCTATACACGTCTTCATCAACGATGATTACCGTTCTGTTCCACTAGTCCTATGATGCTTTAGCGACGACTTTCTCATTGTCTATATAACATGGTTTGCCCAGCTTTGGTAAGTGAAGAGCGATGATGGTGGTGTGCCTTCGGATCGCTTCAGTCTTGTAGTCGTTACTAAGTGGTTTATAGATCTAGATGTAATTTTCGTTACTCCTAGTATTATTTGTACTGACATAATTGATGAGAAATAGATCAGGAATTCTTTTCATAAAAAAAAAGTCTCAATGGACTGCGCCGAACGACAGATGTGCATTGCGTCGCGATTCGCACGTGGCAGAGGCGATGGAACACGATCACATCGGACGGCCAATAGATATATGTAAAATAGCCCCAGAAATTAAGAAAGTTACACGTCACATCCGCCGTAAAAAACAGCAAAATATCTTATCTGGCATGCCTCATCTTCTCCCACAGAAAAATGTTTTTTTCTCTATAAATACCCTCAACGCCTGCCCACACCAATTGCGGCCACACCACCACCGCCTCGCAAATAAAACCCACGTGTCTGTCCTAACCATACCGGCCACCGTACCATCAGATCAGAGCAACGCTCTGCACTCGCTACAATGGCGACACGGGCACGCCGAGCTCTCATCTCCCTCCTCGTCCTGCTGCTCGTCTCAGCCAGCGGTAAGCCGCAAATCGGTCCACGCATATGCATGGATGTAATTCAAGTTCGTTCAAATCGTCCGCTCAATTTACTTGTTTTGCTCATGGTTGGTCACTGATTCTTCAGGTGTGGCGTCCAAGTCGTTCGCCATCACCAACAACTGCGAGTACACGGTGTGGCCGGGCATCCTCTCCAGCGCGGGCTCCCCGGAGATGGACAGCACCGGCTTCGCGCTGGCCCCGGGGGAGTCGAGGACGATGCCAGTGCCCGCGGGGTGGTCGGGGCGGCTCTGGGGCCGGACGCTCTGCTCCACGGACCCCGCCGGCAAGTTCGCGTGCGTGACCGGCGACTGCGGCTCCGGGCGGCAGGACTGCGCCGGCGGCGGGGCCGCGCCGCCCGCCACGCTGGCGGAGTTCACGATGGACGGCAACGACGGCATGGACTTCTACGACGTGAGCCTGGTGGACGGGTACAACCTGCCGATGCTGGTGGCGCCGGAGCAGGGCGCACCCGCCGCGGCGGGTGCGGGCGCGGCGGGCGGCAACTGCGCGCCGACGGGGTGCGTGGTGGACTTGAACGGCGCGTGCCCGGGCGACCTACGCGTGTCGTCGACGACGGCGGGGGCGGGCGGCGGCGTGGCGTGCAAGAGCGCGTGCGAGGCGTTCGGGACGGCGCAGTACTGCTGCAGCGGCGAGTACGGCAGCCCCGGCACGTGCCGGCCGTCGGCCTACTCGCAGTTCTTCAAGAACGCGTGCCCGCGCGCCTACAGCTACGCCTACGACGACGCCACCTCCACCTTCACCTGCGCCGGCGGCGTCTCCGCCTACGCCATCGCCTTCTGCCCCAGCACCACCAGGTACCCACCCCACGCGTCACCGAGATGTCCGTCGTTCTTGAACCTTTTTGTCAAACCAAAAGACAAGTGCCTTTCCATGGCTCCCAAAAGCAAATGGAAAACATCTTTTGACCTCTAGATAGCCCCGGACGCGGTGGTGCTGCACCGCTGTCCGGTTGACGTGCACGGCGCACCGACGAGCCGAGCCGGCCAACAACGACCTCGCCGCATCCGTCCGAGAGCGCCCGGTCGGTACCCCGCATGCCGCCGATCGAACAGTTCCAAACCAAATCGCCCCTGCCCACGGCAAGTCGATTAGTCGACCGTCGTCTCTCGCACCGGACACGCAACGTGTTATCCCGTCACGACGCACACTCTCCTCTCCGTGACTTATTTTCAAATGATAGGAGCTGACTGTTGCACTGACGTGTACGCATGCACACTCCATATTACTATACCATTAACATTTCGTGCTGACGATACGTTTCATTTATATGTGTTGTGCAGCGTGAAGTCGGCCGGGTCGAACCCGCAGGCGCCGGCGGGCCTGCCGCTGATCAACGGCACGATGGTGTACCAGGGGGGCGACCAGTTCGCCGGAGCGGCCGCAGCCGCGCGGCCGCCGCTGGACCTCGTCGCCGTCCTCGCCGGCGTGGCGGCGCTCGCGCTCGCGCGCCCCATGCTGCAGTGATCGACCACTCAACAGTGCCGCCGGCCGCGGGCCATGACATGAGATAATCATGCCTGCGACTGATGCGCACGCGCACCCACCCAAAACAGAGAGAGGACATGGGGACGAAACGGACGCGTGACCTGCCGGCCGGCCGACCTGACGGTGCGGTGGGCCCACGCGATGTGAGATTTGAAATTTGCTGAAGAGACGAAACGCACGTATGGACGGGCATGCAGGAGCTCTGCTCCCTGTTGCGGCTCGGCGGCAAAGAAATGCATGGCTCTGGATTAGTTAGGCTAATTTGAAAATTGGTGTACTACATCAGACAGTTTTATAGGTATTTTCTATGTTTTATATGATCAAACAAGTGGACTTAGTTTCATCTTTTTAATATGTTTGGGTTTGTAAATTACTGACCATTGGAACCTGGTGGACGTGGCGTGATGTGTACGAATCTTGAAATGTATAGTTGCAGTTTAGGGTGTATGTTTATGGACAGATGCATACATAATAATCGTCTTTGTCTTTGGTTTTGCTATTTTCTTTTATTTACGGGGAGGTTTGCTATTTTCCAGCTACATTAAACTTTTTTGTTGCGTCTGTCACTTTTTCCTTCTTCCGTCTTTCTTCTCAAGCGCGCGAGATGAAGAGGCCGGACCTCGCCGGAGAAAACCAGCCCCACTATCTATCTTAAGGAAAGCAACATCTCGATCATCTATCTTAGGGGAATCATCAGCTCCATTATCCATCTTAGGGGTGGCGGAGGGGGGATGCAGCGGATAGCCGGAGGTTTTCGACGGTGGTACGGGGATTAGAGGGATGGCGGGGGCGATGGCCAGAAACGAGATGCGGGAGGTTGAGGGGACGACGGGGCAACGAGACTTTGCGCAGTAGCGTCCACCGGTCATGGGGGGTGGAGGCAAGTGGATTGGGTGGGGTAGGTCGGGGGTTGCAGAGAAGGATGAACCAGATCGTGGCTTAAAGAGAAACACGCTTGGGAGGAAGAAGACGACATGTGAGCGATTGGATGAGGATTGGACGGACGGACAGGAAATAAAGTACCTAATATGAAGCGTTTTTTCACGTACCTGACGTGTACACACATCCCTGTTTCTTTCACTCTTTTGCCTTTTCTCGCTTTTCTTGAGCTTTTCATGTTTGTCGAAAGAATAACTTTTCATGTGTTCCCCATATAACAATTAACAAATAGAGGCTAAGGCCGCGTTCGGTTTCCCTCGGCTCCCTGGCTCCGCTCCTGGAGCGGTAGTTAAAATCCATGCAGCCAGCAAACAGCTGCTCCATAGATTCTATAATTCGAAGAAGTTGGTGGATTGCCGAACACACCCTAAGTATGACGATTGTATGCGATCATTGCTGTTTTCAGCAGTTGATCCGTAGTGGTGTTTCAATGTCAAGACGGGTTGACAGCGATCGGGCCAGTATCTTTGTATCCAGTCTCCAACTGCTTTAAGTATTCTCTCAAAAGAAACTGCTTTAAATTTATGCTGTTGCTGTTCACGTATGTCACCCAAATTATGTCTACGGAGGCGGTAAATGAGGTGGGTAAATGAGGTCTCTACTAGGAAAACACTTGCTCGCTGCGCATTACTGATTTACTGTCAGGTGACCCAGTAACCATCAATGGTGACTCTAACAGACCGTCTAGTTTTAGCAAATTCTGAGTATAGATAGTGTTGCCACGTCTTGTGATAACACGCGAGAACGTAACAGCCACATCTTCAAACAGGCTCGCAACCCATTTTATAGATAAAGCACATACCAAAGTAACAGTGACATCGGTAGCCCTCAATCCCACGACGCAATTCCACATAGTTTGTGAATGTCATAGCACATGCTACTTGTGCCACCTCCCATAGGCCTTCCGCTCAAGCCACTCGCACGGTCTCCTCAATCACAAGACACATTTCTCACCATTGGATCTCAGGTCCGATGGCTTCTGGAGCTCTTGAACATTTTGCGAAGAAGTTATCCGAGAGTCAAAATTTCGCGTAGGTACAATAGATTTCGACGAGCCGTTGGATCTGATCCAACGGCCCAGAAGTCCGTATCACGGTATCATCTAAGTGCTGGTAGCAACTGATATTTTCCCTTCCAACCACCATGACCATATGCTCATGCAAAGTTCAACAACAACTCGCGAAACAGAGGAGCAACGGGAGGTCCGTACTCATGTCCTTTTTTCAGTTTGTCCTCCTTTCGATGAGTTCAGAACGGGAGGCGTTTTCTAGGGGGCGTTTCAGTGGAGATGGAGAAATAGAGACAAACCTTCCATGACCTCAACAAGGCCTGGAAGGTCGCCGTGCCCATGCACACCACCGTCATCCAGCACATGTCTTCCACCGCCGCTTTCAGCCAGCTCCCGCGGGTATGACGGTCGACTTTACGGTGTGGATGCCACGAACCAGATAGTACTCCCTCCGTTCGGAATTACTTGTCACAATGGACGAGTAATTCCGAACAGAGGGAGTAGTACGCTCCAACGTATCCGTGTTCATCGACCGTATCATGGCTGCTTCCGTGATTGGACGAGCAACAAGTTCATAATCATGCCGGCGGTGCTGACGACGGAAGAAATAACCACCGAAACTGAACCTAGTCACACTGAACTTAACAGTCAAAACTGAACCTACTGTCGACACTGACTTAACTGTTGAAATTGAACTTGGACAAGTTTAATACTCGCACGGAGGGCGCCACCTACCGCCGTCGGCGCCAGCCGGAGCTGATGCTGAACGGGAACACCCGCGCATACACATGCGGCAATTGCCGTCTTGCGGCCACGTGCTCGGCTTCCTGGATCTCTACGCTTGCAGCGGGTCAGGGCCCACCGACCTGCAGTGACAACGGCCCGCCGCCGTCGGCCATCTCAGAGCTTCATGTCCTTTTCCATCCATCGACGATCTCCTTCCACTTCCTGAAGCGGCTCGTGGAGCCACCGGTACGCCGCCTGCACCGTGGTGTCGTAGCCCCAAGGCGCGGTCTCCGTCACTCCGAGGTACTCCTCGTTGGAGGAGTGTCTGGACAGGACAACACGTCCAGCACCAACATCACCAGCGTTGTCAGGGTTGTCCAGGAACTTTCCGAAGGAGACGGCGACCACGGGCTCCTCCGCCCATAACGCCTGCAACCCCGTGTCACCGGCGGCGGTGCTAGAGTCCGGGTACTAGTAAAGTAGTAATACCGGGAAACGTACGCCTGCACCATCCCTTGATTACTGCTTGATGGCAGCCCATCGTTGGCGAACGGGTAGTTTTTGTTAGAAGGGAGAGAGAGATTTGGTGGAATAGTTCATCGTATTGCTTGAGCCTCGTGGGCATATATATAGGAATACATGATCTACTTGGAGTACAAGGCAAGCCAGAATATTTCCTAGTCTAACCTATGTTTCCTAATACAATCACGTTACTCAACATCCCCCCGCAGTCACAACGGTAGCGATGGAGACGGTGAGACTGGAGAAGAATCCGAAGGCAAGCCGACGGACACCCCCACAGTCGTAACGGTCGACGCATCGCAGAGTCATGGCTGGAGTGGAAACCAACGAGGTTGCTCAAGCAGGCGACAACCCTTAGTACCGTTTGTCGATGTAGCCGAGAGCGTGGGTGGCGGAGCCGTGGTCGAGGTAGTCGTGCGAAGAATGCCGTGGTCAATGTTGAGTCAGGGTGGCCGGTGTTGAGGAAGTCGCCGTGGAGCCGCGGGCGCAAGAGGGCGTCGAGTTAGCATGGGCGCAGTGGTGCCGAAGTAGGGGTGCACCGGGAAGAAAATGTTGTTGAGGACACATCGCGGCGGGTTTCCCAAGCCCGGGAACACATCGTGGACGAAGGCACACACCGGTGTTGCCAGCACGGAGCATGCGTAGGCGGATGAAGACGAAGTTGACGAAGCGCCGACCAGGCTTGCCAGGCCCGGGGACACGTCGTGGATGAAGGCACGCATCGGTGTTGCCAGCACCGGGCATGCGTAGACGAGGGACCTGCATGAGCTGTACGCCATGTTGGAGAAGTCGGAGGGGCCGGCAGAGAAGAACTCGACGACGATTGCGGCGTCCATCTGCGCAGGGCCGATGTCACCGACGGTGGTCGGAGTAGACGAAGTTGTCGGGGTAAATGACGACGACGCTGGCGATGGGCTGGTGCTTGGACAAAGATGAAGGGGGTGGACGGGCGGCAGCGGCGGCTACGAAGGCAGCGACGACGACGGCTAGGTTAGGAGTGCGGCGGCGATGCTCGAAGTAGGCGAAGAATCCTGACAGTGTGATGAAGACCGGCGCGGACGGTGGCGTTCCCGCGCCAAGGAAGATGGCGCGGTGCATATCACGGGAGGTCGACGCGTGATGGGTGTGGAGCGGACCGCGGGCCGCGGCGCTACAGCCCGAAGGGGCGACGCATCGGCGGTAGGAGGGTCGAGGCGACGGCGGGGACCGCGAGCTGCGACGCTGCGGACCGAAGGGGCGACACAACAACGGTTCGCGAGTCGGTGCAACCGCGTGGACGGCCTCGGGGCGGCGGCGGGGACCGCGTATCACGACACGACGACCCAAAGGAGCGACGCAGTGGCGAGGCACGAGTCGATGCAGCCGCGAGGAGAACCACGGGGCGGCGGCGCTGCGGCCCGATGGGGCGACGCAGTGGCAGCCCGATGCTCGATCGGTGGAGAAGCGCGCTAAACTCGGGGACGATCTTCACGGGACCTGCGGAGGCGCGTGTAACCGACGGGCCAGGTCGGTCGCGCGGCGTAGATGAGGCGGATCATGGAGGCGAGCGGGTGATTAAGCCGATCGCGCGCGAGGTAGGGGACGCCGCTTGGTGGAGGCGTGGTGGTGGCGGAGTCCGAGATGAAGCCGACGACGGCGGATGGCGTGAGACGTCATGCGGACGAGCTTGTCAGCACTGGCACCCGGGCTGCCAAAGCAACGCCGGCGCCTGGGCAGCGAGGCCCGAGCGACCAACGGAGTAGCGGCGCCCGAGTTGAGGCAGCCGACGAGCCTGACGCAGCCG